GGTCCATAATCTTGCACATGTATGCTGCAGCGGCCAGGGATCGAACCAACCTGTCTGGTAGATTGGCACCAGCTCTACCTCGAAAATATAGAGAAACATTTAGCCTACACAGAGAGAATCTACACAAATAATGCACTCATTTCTTATCAATGCTGGATTGCTTTCTCTTTATACATTTAAAGTAAAAGAGAATAAAAGCCTCTTATAAGGAATCAATGTTAGCACAGTTGCTACTAAACTCTTAGCAGTGTCAGCTACACCTAACATTTCAGATATATTTGGCTTCTGGCTTAATCTAACATGATGCACAGGCCCGCCCCTCCCTACACACAGACTGTGGGGCCTCATCGTGCAGAGGGAGCCTTATCTGATCCACAAATGCGGCGCACTTCAGTTTATGCGCAAATGCGTCGCAATTAAGTGCGCCACTGTTTCGCAGTTAACGCGCACGCTCCACTATCACATAACTTTGCGTGGGGGCACAACCTGGCCAGGGGCAGCCCTGATGACGCGACACATAATAAGACGATTGTTGTTGGGCAGCAACATATTACATCACCAGAACCAGGCTTATAATCAGGCAAGCTTTTGTTTTGGGATAAATTATTTACACCCATTATTTTTCCCTTATGTATGTTGAAATGAGCTCGGATTGCAGCATTTGCATTGATATCAACAGAGTACAATGTTTTCCGCAAGGTGACTCCCAACTCCTGACAGGCTTTCTGTCGAGTAAACGTTAAAGATGCCCCGGGGCAGAGTGCCAGCACCGAGGCCAGATGGGAGCCATAGTCTCTACCTGCCACCCCTCCCACCCGGTGCCAGTCCCCTGACACCCCTCCTGCCATCTGTTCCGACGTGCCTCTAGCTGTCAACAGTTCAAGAGCAGGTTTTGGCGTTCCCGCCTCTACGTGGCAGCAGACAAACACAGCTGTGCAGATGTTGTCGGGGTGAATAGACGGCGACGGTGGCGACAGCAAGGCCAACATCTGTGCTCCCTGTGAACAACAGCAGCACTTTGCTGTGACGCTGTGTCAATGAGCTGACATACGGCCACCACCGCTTAATACTGAGATCCATAAATATGTTCTAGGGATTAAAGTCAGATTAAGACACTGTACACAAAACAGATTTATATTCAACTAAGTAGATCACAGTGATTTGATACCGAAAACACCCAGATCATATGTTACACAACACATAATCCAGATATCATAATTTCCTTTTTTTTTATCTGCCTCCCTTGCTTGTGTGTACTGCAAGTGTGCTGAAAAAAACTGAAAGGTTGACTTTAATTAAATGTATTTCAACAAATTTGACGTTTTGGTTGAACCTATTTAATCGTAATATTATTGCTTTCAACTAATCTAATACAGTTAAGTGACATTTGTTGACATAATACATTTAATTGAAGTCAACGTTTCCGTTTTTTCAGTGTATCTTTATTGGCTTGATGAAGATATTCCAGCTGCTCTCACACTTTTCAAATTTTCTTTCTGTTTTCCTGTGACTGCAGATGTTCCTGTCACTAGATGCTCACCCCCCCCTCCCTCTACATGCTGCTGAATGCAGTCCGTGGCATGTGTCAGGTATAGCCCTTCATTACCACCCTGCTGCTTCCCCCCCCCTTCCCTCACTCAATCCCTCTATTTCTTTCTCTCTCTCACACACACACTAACAAGAACAATGCATTCAGGCAGCAGGATGTGTGCATCTACATTGTGTGTGTATTTGTGTGTGTCAGAGTGAGAGAGTAGAGCAGAGAAGGGAAATGAATAAAAGGACTTCATACATTTTTATGACCGCACCGATAAGGTCAGTCATGTGCTGTGGTTACTAGGCAACACTGCCACCCCATGTTGGACAGTTACGGACCAGAAGAGTCAAACTCTAGTATGTTTACTACAGCTCAGTGAATGACAGATATTTCTGCTCAGTGTTATCACAGTCACAACGAGATGAGGACAAACAGCGTGACATACATAAACTCATCCCAATGTTTTGTTCAAATTATGAAACAATGGCTACAACTTAATATCTCCAGAAGATACAGTAAAGATCAGTGGAAAGGTTAATCATGGCTAACGTTTGGAATATTTCTAACAAGGCATCAAAGCTGTTCTGAAGTCAGTGTTATGGTCCAATGTGGCTCACTAAAGGCAAATATTGTGAGATTTTAAGTTGACTAAAAGCAACATTAATGGATTAATTGTTGCATGTATCACACGATGATTCAATGCTTCAATTATCAGACCAGTTGCAAGTTATAAATTAAACTCCCTAAAGTCTTGGACCTGTGGACTAGCCTGCCTTCCACTCAGCTGTGTGTTGAGCCGTGAGATGGAAAGAAGTCAATGAGTGTAATCAATGTAGATCAACTAAGATGCTCTGTCCACTCAATTGGTCGCTACCTTTAAAGCTAGGTGATTATAGTAACCAGCTAGGGGAAAATGAGAGTCTTTCAGCAATTATCACAGTTCGAAGATGAAAGAACAGGTCAAGTCAGGTGTACAAAAACAAAGACATGTTACTAACAAAACTACAAGGATACAAAAAAATCCAGGAGGGAAAACTTTGAGTGATTTCTTAAATACTGTAGTCACTCCAAGCAACAGAGGGCACTTTTGGCACAATCTATAATGGGTTTCATTTATAACAATCTGGACCGTTCGTAAACTCTGAGCGCTGAATGTACCGTTTGGATATTCAGAGCAGCTCAAAAGAGGGTTAGAACGCACTCTGGGCACTCCATCTGAAGGGCTGGAAAAGCAGAGCGCACACAGAATGTTTAACAGATCCTTCTAAGCCATATTATTATATTAATGATTAACTAGTTAACTAGCTTACATTTTACATTTATATAACTTCTAACATCAGCTTCAGCCTCCTTTAAAAAAAAAATAGGCATATTGTTAAAGGGTGTTGTTTCGCATCATAATCATCTGTGACCAGGGGCGCCGTAAGGGGGTGAAAAGTTAGGACGATTCTAAGGGCCCGTGACTGACGGGGGCCCCAAAATGTTTAGAACATTAAGACATTTTTTTTTAAGTAACCTTTCATCAATCCTCAATAATTAACATTAAATGAACGTTATATTGATAAAGTACTCACTAAACTTACGATTAATTTAACTTATTTTCTTCCAAAAGTTAATTATCCAAAGCCTCTGTACACCCCCTTCTATTTACATGTAATGGTTTGGTCCTGCCTCCAAACGCGGTGCGGCACCGGCACTTGCAGAGAGTGAAAACATGTGAGGAGGGATGCTAGCCTAGTACTTAGCCTACACTTGTGTTGTACGATGTCTCAACGACTCAAAAAGTCAGGCTCTAAGAAAAGAAGAGAAAGGAGAGAAAGACAAGAGAGAGGGACTAAAGGGTGACAGTATGTCATCCAGTTTTTCACAAGAAAAGGTATGGTCCATGAGTGGTGGAAATTATTCTGTTAGCTAATGTTTTGTTTTTACTAAGCTGACATTAAGTAGACTACTGTTAATATCTTTACAGAAAATTCAGAGGTTTTTCATTTCACTGCTCTTTTAGCTGACATTTAAAGGTAGGGTAGGTAATTCACTTCAGAAACACTTTTTGTTATATTCCATGGAATGCTCTTAACATCCCGATAGCAATGAATATATTAAATGCTTTGACAATAAATACATACAAACATTTCATCTGTGGAAGCCGTGGCGCTGTAAAAAGCACGACCAATCATCTGAGCCGGAACCCTGCTTTTCGACCAAGTCCAAGTCGTAATACCCCCCCTGTCCCGACGACTCGAATTCTCTACCTAGACAACCAGGACCGTGGTCCCCTTCCCTGGTGACTAAATCATTCACTTATCCGGCGATTTTTACACCGGTCGTAAAATAATTTCCATTCCTCCATTCTTTACCTTTTTGGTCCGAGCTCACGCTAGATCTTAAGAACTTTCATGTGTTGGCTTTTTATACGGGGAAGGAAGGTCTCGAAGGAAGTGTCTACGGGACGGGGAGGTTGTGTGTGTTTGACGCGTGTACCTGGTTACTCCGTTGCTATATGTTAACACGTGTCTACCTTCGACGTCCGTCCATTGGTAGGTCAATAAA